TACCAAATGTTGGAGAGGATGCGGGGAAAAGGGGAATGCTCATCCACTGCTGGTGGGATTGCAAACTGATTCAACCCCTATGGAAAGCAATGTGGAGAACCCTTAAAAAACTACAAATGGACCTACCATTTGACCCAGTTATACAACTCCTTGCCATATACCCAAAGAATCCATCCTATTGCAGATGACACTTGTACATCCATGTTTGTTGCTGCTCTTTTCACAATAGTGAAACCATGAAATTTGCAGGTAAGTGGATGGAACTAGAAACTTTTATACTAAGTGAAGTAACACAGACTCAGAAAAACAAACAATGTATGTTCTCCTTCATATGTTGATCCTAGCACCAAATCCTTATGAGTATGTATCCAGACATAACTACAGGAACCAGGATAATGAAAAGGAACCAGGGAGGTAAAGGAAAAGAAAGAATCTGAAAGAGAAGAACAGTAGGAAACAGGTGTTACTAAGGGAGATATGGATAAAAACAGGGTTATTTAAATGGGGGGGAGGTATACAAGGAACTTTGAGGATAAAGGGAAAGAAGGAGCTCAAGAGAGGTGGGACCATAGGAGAAGGGTATTATTAAGGGAGAAAGGGGGGAAATAGGGGCACTTTAAATGGGGAAACCATGGTGGAAGGATCAGACAATGAGAGAGATAAATAATGCCTAGCTAGTTTTAAAAAACTAGAGGGATTCATATTAGTCCAACAATCTACTGAAAAGTTATACATACAACTAGTTCAAGGAACAAAATATCTGTCTAGTCAAGGTTTATCTGAGAACATTTGGTTTTTGACCAAGCTTTATCTACATAGTACATGGTAATTAAAAGTACCAGACTGGTGGGACTAACATTCTTGGATGTTTAACAGCCATACTTAGAAGCCTATACTAATCTGGACAGAAGAATTTTTAAATTCTGCTCCTTGCCTTCCAAGGTCAACTAAGTTCCAGGGGACTATGGAGCATCTCTCAAAATGTCCTGTAACTGTGGTGAGTCACCTGTCCTCTTGTTCAGGGAGGCCATGGAGACCCCACCAGATGGGCTTGAACCAGTGTCCAGTCTACAAAGAGGAGGGTCAACACAGAGGAATCATTTCCTCCATGCTTCCAAGTGAAGTCAGTCACGGTTGAGTAGGGCCTTTGACTTATCTTCGCATAGACAGAATTGGTAAAAGAAAGGAGCCAGGGGCTCCTCCCAAGCTCATGTGACCCCTGAGGAACAGATCCTCAAATGACCTTAAGAGTAAAAATAAATTGGTTTATCTGGGCCAACTGTATGGTCTTAAACACCCACAAGGAAAGTATAAACAAAGAGTAAAGTGATCAGTATATTTCTTTAAGAGTCCCTATTGTATAACTAAAGGCTATGTAACAAGAAACAATGACAGACAGGAGATACCTTCCTTTGAGTTGTTGGCCAGGGTGGCCCAAGAGACTCCCAGACAGTAACTCAGCATAGAACTGGGAAAATGAACAGCAGACCCCAATTGTATCTAAAGGAATGTTGGCAACTATTACTGCTAAATGAGGAAGAGCTGATCTTCCTACAACAAGGTATTCTAGATAGGCTGACTAGACTCAGCGAATAAACTTGCACTGCGGAACAGCTGGGGGCACTGACAACACAGTGGACAGTTAATAGGGATGACAGAGTTGACAGAGTATATGGGCTCCAGTGGAGCGGGGAGGCTATAGGAGGGTGACATTTGGGATGTTGATATAAAGATGACTAATATTGTTTGGGATGTTCTGTATGAAATATAAAAAATAAAGAATAATTTTAAAAATCAAGAACATGCCTCACAGACATACGCATAGGCCCGTGTGATAGAGGAAATTCCCCAATTGAGGTTTCCTCTTCCTGGGTATGTCAAGTTGACCACTGAAGCCATCCAGCACACCAAGTTAGCATGAGAACCTGAGTTTGAACCTCAGTACCCACATTTAAAACGCCCAGTGTGGCAGCCCCATGCTTGTAATCTCAGCACAAGGGAGGTAGAAACAGTGGGTTCATGGAACAACCAGTCTAGCTGCATTGCCAAGCTCCAGGTTCAGTGAGAAATCCTGTTAAGGTGAAGAACCATTGGAAGATATTTAGTGTTTATCTCTGGCCAACACACACACACACACACACACACACACACACACACACACAGACCTGGAACCCTAGTTCCATGTCACTACAAAAGTCAGTGTCCTCTACAGTACTCCTGTGGATCTCCACTGCCAACTCCTTCTCCACAGCCTTCAATGGGCCATCTCATACTGCTTTCCCATCTATCTCTAAAACATTTACACATCTCTCTCCATTCCCCAAGTAGCCATCAGCACAGTACTGTCGGGGTATCACACTGCCTGAAGTCTCAGGGTTAATAGCAGAGGGAAAGAGGTAGGGGCAGAGGGCAAAATTAGGTATCACAATTTTCAAAGTTTCTTACCTCTTCTCATCCCTGTGTTGAATCTATATGTTAGTCAACATTCTGTCACTATGACAAAATAACCTGAAGTAATTGACTAAATGAGAGGAAAAGTTTATTTTGGCCCACAGTTTTGGAGGCATCATTACATGGTCAGTTGGCCTATGGTTTTGAGGCTCCATGGCAAATCAGAGCACACGCCGAGGAGGCCTGTTCATTTCAAGGTGGCTATGAAAGAGAGGGGAAGAAGAAAGCCTGGTTCCAATAGCTACTTCAAGGGTACACCCCCAGTAGCCTTACTTTCTTCTCCTAAAAATTCCTAGTTTTCTAAGAGTGCCACGGGCTGGAGATCAAGCCATCAACACATGGGCCTTTGAAAGACATTAGAGATCCATAGCCCATCTTCATCCCTTTGATGGAAGCTGCCCTAGTTTCTTCTCAGCTCTCATCCCAAATATTACCAAATAAAACTCAGCTTGCCCTCATCCTTTTCAGCAGAGCAATTGAGTTCCTTTTGTCTTTGCCTCTTCCATTCTGATTCATTCTAATACACCCTCACAGAAGGGTTTATTAATGTTTTCTAAGCAAAAGGATTATCTAGCAAATCCTCCATACTTGAAGACAGAGGAGCTGAGAAATTAGTTTTTTCAAGGTGTCTCAAACAGAAAGAAAAAGTCTTAGTAAAACAAATGTTTTTCATTTCTACCAACCTAATATTTTTCTTTTCATTTTGTTTTTTTCAAGACAGGGTCTCACTGTGAACCCCAACTGGCCTGGAACTCAAAATGTAGGCCATCCCAGACTAGCCTTTATCTCAGAGATACCTGCCTGCTTCTGCCTCTCTGTTGCTGGGATTAAAGGTGTGCACCATCACACCCAGCCCATCTTCATATTTTTTTAAAAAACATTTCAAAATTTGTTTTTAAAACTACTGTAAGCATAGACTATAAAGGGCAAATTTGAAGATGCTGGGGGCATCAGATCATGGAAGGTCTTAGAAGACCTATTAAGTGATATTCATTTTTATTCAAAGCAGGTAATTATCATAGTTAGTGGATCATAAGGGTATGGAAGTACAGAGGACCCAAGGAGAGAAGGCTGAGTGTCAACAGTGACGCAGTAAACAGGTCAAGAAAGAAGAGTAGAAAGGAAAAGTTGACATCAGGCTACGAGTAGGAGACAGAACAGAGAGGGCTAGTGTGTGGGGGGAGGGCAGAGACAAGTGCTGGAAACGATACTCAGCACTCCCCAGCAACTGGATGGTACAATGTATTGTGACAGAAAATAAATGAATAATGATGTATCTATGGGAAAATGATGCTGTATTGGGGACATATTCCATCCTATACCTGTGGGCATCCCACATGATCTAGGAACAAATCTGCCATCAAGTTTCTCAGGCAGACTGGTCAGTAGGGATCTGGAGCCTGAGGGAAGACAAGGCTACCTCTGATGGCACTGATGTTCCAGGAGAAAGCTCTGAGGAAAGTTTCCCCCTCGCCTGCCGTCTGACTTTATTTAAGGGTTAGGACTTCTTTGCTGCACTTCATTGGCTTAAAATACGAAAGTGATATTTAAATTACTACAGACCATAGTCTAACTTCACTAGAAAAATACCAGGACCTCCTTCTTCACCTAGTCAGGCGACCAATCAGAGGAACTGTTGCTGATTGAATCTAGTCACTCTACAAAGTGTAGCTACGACATCCTAAATCTAGCTTTAAGAGTGTTAGAATGCACCCTCTCGGTGGACATGAACAGTCATAGCTGTGTGATGGATGTATAATATTTACCAGTGTGGCTTACTGGTCACCATCATCTATCCATTTTACATGCAAAAGCTTTCACTTTTTTACCTTTTCATGCTATTCTATTGGCACTGCATTTTTACCAACAAGAAAATAATAGGAAAGTTTGAATATTACAGCCCCCTCAGAATCACTAACAAGTTGCTGTTTGGGAAGCTTCAAATTTTTGAACTTGGGTATCTTCTCCAGCTCTAAACTAAAAAGGCTTTCTGTGATGGCTTAAGGGGAAAAAAAATCAGAATTAGGGAGGAAAAAGCATCAGAATTTGAGAATTGGAGGTACGGCAACTACCTTCAAGTCTCGGGTTGCCACTCACTAGATTATCCCTTTAGCAAGTCACTTTCTGCCTTTGAGTCTTCTGGCTTCTCCTGAAGACACTGATAAATTTTTACAGTTACTGCTATGTCACAAGGCTGTTTGGAGATTGTGGATTTAAAAAAGCCAAGTAAAGCTGGGCGTGGTGGCGCACGCCTTTGATCCCAGCAATCCTGAGGCAGAGGCAGGCGGATCTCTGTGAGTTCAAGGCCAGCCTGGTCTACATAGTGAGTTCCAGGACAGCTGGGGACACAGGAGACCCTGTCTCAAAAAGACCAAAAATAAATAAATAAATAAATAAATAAATAA